ACGTTTAATGTGCGATTAGCTTTAAACTCAAAGCGAAACTGTTTTAACACCATTTTTCATGCAGTCGTGAACGAGCAGGAGCTGAATACCATCATCTTATTTCTCTGTGAACCGCCCCTCGTGTTGTTGTGCGTCGTCTCAGCCGTTTTTAAAAATATATATTTCCGTATTGAACTTTGTGTTTTTGTGCCATGATGTATGTGTATAATTTTGAGTTTGTTGTGTTTTGCTGATTTGTGTTCGTTTTATTGTTCTCGTTTTATTGCCCATCCAAGGATGGCCGAAGCAAATTAACTTATGCCATAAACGCTATGGTATGTATCACCGATTGCCGCTCCGCACCGCTCCCCGGACGAATGAAAATTAAACCTTCTCTTATTGATGAATCTCTTACTGTTGAATAAGTTAACTGCAAGTGAGCCCAGAGGATCCCGAATACTTCGGAGTCTATATGAGGTTTTCTTAGTTGCATAACAACAGTTGCATGTTTGGCAGACACACCAAACCGCTAGCGGACTGTCAGGTTTACTGTATCACGGAGAGCATCATCCTTCTTTATAAGTCATGTTCGGTGCCACCGAGCATCACAGTTCGCCCTCTCAAAGACGCTCTTAATTAGCTCGGTGCCAATGAGGTGCCTTCACAAACAAAAAACGCACACATGCGTGGCATGCGTGCCCACACACACGGCCCCGAGAGTGTGATGTACCGCACTCTGATGTCCCTGTGAACGTGATGAATGCAGCTTACGGAGCAGGCGGCACAGAAAACACAGGTCTCCATTGTAATTTCTGCACAATGGAACGCTGCAAAGGCACACCAGGGGTGGAGTGAAGCAGTGCTGACAAGCAGCACATGCATTATTTAAAAACAAAAGTAAAAAATGCCCATTAAAGTGTCAGTGGTGCTTTCGGCAGTGCTGGCTTGGGCGCGGTGTGCGTATTACTGTTATTAATGGGCCAGGCGTGGGGGGCATTGCTTCGGTGTGATTGCTCTGCTGCTGTTGCTATCCGTGGTTCAAGCCTCCCCTCTCTTTTCCCCCCATTTCTTCTCTGTATGTGTGCACGAGGAAGAGAAACAGATAAAGAGCGTGCTACAGACAGAGACGGAGAGACACCGAGAGACCCTGAGTGCACAGTCAATGAGCTCCTACAGCTAATATCATTTCACATTATTGAATGCATATTAAGGCAGAGAGACCTTGTCAGATAAATAGGAGCACCAGTGCTTATATCAAATTCTGATCTGCCTTCACGGCCATGTCGAAAAAAAATGCTGGAAATGTAGTCAGCATATTGAAAATAAGTGCACACCATTTTTCTTTGCAGTTTAACATCAAGGGCTATACATTACGCTACTGACACAGCAGAATGAGGTCATTGTGCATGTTGTAATTACAGCTGGGTAAACACTCTGCTCGCTGCTGCAACACTGGAAACACAGAGCACTGCGAGACTGACAGAGATATAAAAAAAAGAGGGCACAGATGCCGATGACTTTTAAGCTCCTAAGTGTTGGGAAATACTTGCATCAGTGGGAATAAATAAATTGAACACAATGATCACGGGTGTATGATCAATTCCAGAGTGATGCAAGGCATTGAAATCGATCAGTGCACCGGCTGGAATGCGGTGCGCAAATAATACATAGTCATCCCTGACCTATTCTTCTAGAACCGGTTTGTTATAGTTTTATTGATGGTGTTTATACGCAGCAGACAGAGCACATAATCAAATTTTGCATATTTGCATGTAGAAAATGTCACATAAAAGCGACAACTTAATTTTCCCCCTCACAAACTCTGCAGAACTCTACAGCCAGCGAGCTTTTGTTATTTATTTCTTTACAAAAAATGCATTCAAAGCTGCCTATCCGCGCCAGTGGACCATCTGTATTTTCCTTCAACTTTATGAAAAACTGAGCCTAACTAGCGACATGTTGTCTAGCTGTTCATTTTTTCCTTTTTTTTGGTTATTAATCCCCTTTTTTAAGGGCTTGTCTCAGCAGTTGGGTGTTCTCTCATCTGCAGGCTTGACAGCATTGAGCCCAACCTCTGATTAATTATTAATTGTGTGATTAAAGTATGTGTTGGCGGGGATGTGCAAGTGTATGCGTGTGGCTCCGAGGGAGGGGGTAGGAGCATGTGCAACGTGCTTTACTGTACTTTGCATTATCTACAACTCAGAGTTTTTATTTCTTGCATTTCACAGCGAGAGATTTAACTGCAGGCATCAAATTTAATACCCAAATCACCGGGCATGTACAATACCTGCAAGAGCAGAAAAAGGGAAGGAGAAAGTATTGTTTTATTAAGTGATGCCTTGTTGAGTCTGGCTCAATATATGGAGAGTTTGCTCCACGTAGATTTCAAGGCTTACGCGGCTATCAGCATTTCAGGATTGAATCTGCTTATAAATTATTCTAAATGTCAAGATTCAACCTTAAACTTGATCCTTTTCAAACTTTTCTAAAGATGAAAACACAAATGTTCACTTGGATAAAAGTGGATTCAGTTCAAATATTTA